AGGGCAAGTCTTGGGTAGTTTATCCCCTGCCAGATCCTCATCACTTAGTGTCTGGCACAGAGTGGGGCTCTAGAAATAGTTATTGAGTAAATAAACTATGACTCTGGGTAGATCCACTTAACTGAGTGGGAATAGTATGTTTTCTACATGTTTTCAAAATAAACTTGAATTATAAATAGTGGTCTGGGCCTGAGGCTGTAGCTTAGTATACACACAGCCATAGGCTTCATCCTCAACACTGAATAATAATAATAGTAATAATAATAATAACAGAACAGTACCTTTTCAGTTTACTTTCATTTTTGTGGGGACTGGAGAGATGACCTAATAGTGGAGAAATGGTTCAACATTTACACTGGCTGCTCTTGCAGAGGATCCGGGTTCAGTTCCTAGCATTCACGTGGTGCCTTACAACCATCTGTAACTCTAGTTCCAGGGGATTTGATGCCCTCTTCTGGCTTCCACCTGTACCTGCCATGTTTGTGGTGCACATACATACATGCAGACAAGCACATAAAATAAAAATAAACACACAAAAAAAGAATAATTGTCTGAGGCTGTAGCTTATTGTACACATGCCTCAGGTTTCATCCTTAGCACTGAATAACAATAGTAATAGTAATAATAATACCAATAATAAAAATAGTAAATTTACAGTTTATTTTCATTATTTTTGACAATGAATTGCTAAGTGTATGTGAGAGGGGAATTTGAAAGTTTCCATTGTCCTAAAAAATAGTAGAGTATCATGGAAATGAATGGTCTTGATTCCAAAGTTTTACAGGTGAAGTCCTTTGGCATCTTCTTACACCCTTCCCACAAGTGTGTCCTTGAGCAAGCTATTTAACTTCTCAGTATCTGTTTTCACATTACAAACTGAGAATAATAATTTGCAGGTCAAAAGGACTCACCCTCTGTAGGACAGCAGAGATGGTCAAGGCAGTCAGTAGAATCAACCTGTAGGATTATTCTGATGATGAAATCAACTAATATGTGGAAAACTTGCTGTAACATCTCTACGTGTTGACTGTTGTCAGCAGAAATGTATTCTTTGTTTGGAAGGACCTCTACCAAGAACTCCCAGAACTCAAGTTTAATAGCCAGAAATTTAAAACTGATAAAGAGTGAAAAAAAAAAAAAAAACTCTGAGGCATGTTTTTGGGTTTTGTTTATTTTCATGATAGCTTTAATGAGGAAATTTATATACTATAAAAATTGACCCTTTTGACATGTGCAGTTCAGTAGTGTTTAGTAAATTCAGAGTTATGCTAATGTGATCAATTTTGTAATGCAAAATTCCCTCATTGCAGAGGGAATTTTGGAACATTTTCATCCTCTGTATGTGCATTACAGATCTCTCTCCATTCTCTTTTGCAACCAGCTCCTGGCAACCACTGATTTTTGTGTATCGTCATGTATTTGCCAATTTTGACTATTTTACATAAATTATTTATACAGTATTTAGTCTTTTATGTCTCTCTTCTTTAACCCAGTGTTTAGAAAGTTCATATGAGTTATGACATGAATCAGCATCTTTTTTTTTTTTTTTTTTTTTTTGAGGCCAGCCTGGTCTACCTATCAAGTTTCAGGGCAGCTGAGGCCAGGGGAGACCCTGTCTCAGAAAGACAAAAAAAAAAAGAAAAAATTGGGAGATGGAAGTTATTACTGGCTGATAAATATTTTTGTTATTTTGTTGCTTTAATTTCTTTTTTTTTTCTTCACATCTCATTTTTATGAACATGTAATAATCCCTAGGAAAGATACACCTTATTTTCTTTCTTCATTATCACAGCGTTAGGGGCATTTGGCTTACTTCTGACTTTCTGGATATTATAGCTAATGCTGCTATGAACATTTATATACAAAGTTTGTGTGGATACGTTTTCACTTCTTGGGTTTATGATAAGAGTAGAATTGTTGAGTCATTTGGTAATTCTGTGTTTTTAAGAACTGCCAAAGCGTTTCCCAGTGTCTACATTTGGCAGTCCCACCCTGTCTGAGGGTTCCCAATTCTCAACACCCTCACTAACATTTGTTATTACCTGTCTCTTACTTTAGTCATTTTAGTGAGTGTGAAGTAGTGTGTCCTTGTAGTTTAGATTTGCATTTCCCTAGGGTTGATGATGTTGAACATGTGAGCTCATTGGCCATTTGTGAATTGTTAGAGAAATGTCTGTTCAAAGCCTCTGTCCATTTTTAGTTAGGTTATGTGTCTGTTTAATTATTGAATTGTGCCGGGCATGGTGGCACATGCCTTTAATCCAAGCACTCAGGAGAGAGAGGCAGGTGAATCTCTGAGAGTTCAAGGCCAGCCTGGTCTACATAGTAAGTTCCAGGCCAGCTGGGGCTACAGGGAGACCTTGTCTCAAAAAGAGCAAAAAAATTGAATTATAAACTTTCTTTATGTCTGCATACAAGTCCCTTATGGAGATTTTTCTCACAGATATTTTCTTCCGTTTGTTTTTACTATCTTGATGGTGTATTCTTAATCATACAAATGTCTAATTATGGTAAAGTCAGTTGCTTTATTAGTTTTTCATTTTGATGTTGGTGTTGTATATAAGGAAATTTTATCTAGTTGAGGGTTCTCTGACCTGTATCCCCCAGGCCACATGTTTCCCAGGGTAGCTATGAATGTGGATAGTTCAATGGAACTATCATGTTGCATTGTCATCAGGTTGGACACTCCTGAGTCTAAGGTCAGGAAAATATATTCCTGTGCTCTCTTTCTAAAAGTTTTGTAATTTTAGGTCTGCATTTAAGTCTGTGACATTTTGAGTTAATTTTTTGTATGGTGTGAGGCACAGGCACAAATTCTTTTTTAAATGTGAGTATCTAGTTTTCCCAGCACTGCTTTATTGGAAAGATTATTCTGTCCTTTCCCAATTAAATTGTCTTGGCGAGGCTAGAGAGATGGCTCAGGGATTGAGAGTGCTGGCTGCTCTTGCAGATGACCCAGGTTCAGTTCCTAGCACCCACATAGTAGCTAACAACTATCTATGGCTCCAGTTCCAGAGGATCTTAGGCCCTCTTCTGACCTCCATGGGCACTGCATGACACAGGTGCACCTACATACATGCAGGCAATACACTCATACACAGAAAATAAAATTAATAAAATATTTTTAAAAAATAAATTGCCTTGGCAATCTTGTCAGAGATCAGTTGACCACGAATGGATGTGTTTATTTCTTACCTCTCAAATTTGTTGTATCAATCCGTGGGCCTGGTTTTATTTACTTATTTATTTATGAATGAATGAAGATGCTAGAGGTCATATATGGGACCAAACATGCTAGGCATGGCCTTTACTAGTGAGGTACATCTCCATCTCCACACTGTATTTATTACTGTAACTTGCTAATGATAAGTTTTGCCATTTGGAAATGTGTCCTTCATTTTTTTCTACAATGTTGTTTTAGCTGCTTGAATTCTTTACACTTCTATATATGAATTTTAAGGTCAACTTAAACTTCTATAAAAGAAGACAGCTGGGATTTTGGTAAGGATAACACTGAGTGCATTCTTCCGTGTGGAGTACTGCTGTCTTCCTGCTTTGTGTCACTCTGTGTGTGTGTGTGTGTGTGTGTGTGTGTGTGTGTGTGTGTGTGTGTGTGTGTATGTGTTTTCTTTTATGTGTATGTATTCAGGTCTCACTGTATAGCTCAGGTTGGCCTAGAACTCATGACCCTCCTACCTCAGCCTCCCAAGCATTAGGATTATAGTCAGTCACCACCACACCTGGCAAGTGCTGCTGTCTTAACAATGTTACATTTTCTGATCTATGAACATAAGATGTAGATATCTTTCCCTTTAAATAAAGTTTTAATTACATTTAGTGGTGGTTTATAATTTTCAGTGTACAATTCATGCACTTTGTTAAATGTATTCCTAAATATTTTACTTTTTTCATGCTTTGTAAATGGAATTGTTTCTTAAGTTTACATTCTAATTGTCCACTGTTACTTAATTGGAAATTTTTTTTTGCCTTTTATTTGTGGTGAAATATATGTAACAAAGAAATTGTCATTTTTTATCATTTTAAGTATACAGTTTACTATCAGTAGATTTAGTCACAAAATTCACAATGTTGTATAAACACTATTTATTTCCAGAACCTTTTTTAACATTCCAAAAAGAAGCTTCATACCCATGAAGCAATAACTTTCCCTTCCTCCCAGACCCTAGTATCCTTCACCCTACTTTCCATCTCTATGAATGTACCTATTTGAGTTCTACATATAAGTAGACTTATTGCATGTCTGGTTCATGTGGCATATTTTCAAGGTTTATCTACATTATAGTATTATCTTAATTCCATTCATATTTTAGCTGAATAAAATTCCATTATAAGTGTATACCACATTTTGTTTACACATTTATCTGTTTATGGACATGGGTAATTTTTAATCTTAGGGCTGTGAGGAAGGCTGCTAAGAATATTGAAATGTAGTGCCTGTTTGAGTCTGCTCAAAGCTCCTCTGGATACATACTTAGGAGTAGAATTGCTAAATTGTATGGTAATTCTCTGGTTAATTTTTTGAGGACCTGCCAAACTTTTCCACAGCAACTGCCAAATTTCACCCTTACACCAGCAAAACATGAGAATTTAAATTTTCCATGTCTTCACCAATACTTGTTATTTTCCTTTTTTAGGGATAATAGTCATCCTAATAGAGGTAAATATTTATTTTAAAACTGAGTATTAAATTTCATTCAGCAATCTTTTTTTAATGGTAGAGAATCTGTTCAGATAGGCATATGCAAAGTATATGTCAGTGCAAAGAAAATGAAGGGAATTTATGAATTTTCTCTAATCACTGTTAGGTTTATTTTTTTATTGCAGTTGTAATTTCCATAAATCAATATAGTTAAAGACAAATGATTCAATGCAAGTCTAGAATTTTTAAAGGAATATATTTAAGTATATTTTTAAATATACCTAGTTTGTTTCTTTGTTTGTTTGGAAAATACAATTGTTCCCTTTTTTCCATAACAAAGACAATGGATTCCAAGGGTAGAGTTCTGCCAGACAAGGGTGAAGATATCTGTGGATATTTCTTGAACCCTTCCTTAATACCAGAATGTTCGTCAGCAACTGTGAAAAAGAAAACAGAAGATGTGAGTGACCTGCCCTCTGAGAGCCAAAGAAGCATACCTCTGGCTGTGACGGATGCCCTGGAGCACATTATGGAGCAGCTCAGTGTTTTAACACAGGTGGGTTGGCCCTCCTTGCCTCAGGGGTAAGATATACAAAGCAATCCTGCTTCTAGCCGGATCTGAAACCAGTGGGATGGGGAAAAGTTTTCCTTGCTGGCAAGCCAACTCAAATTGTCAATCATTAGCAAGGCACTCTGAACTAAGCTGTGGTGAGAAAATAGTATGATGTCGTGTGTGTGTGTGTGTGTGTGTGTGTGTGTGTGTGTGTGTGTACGTACACGCGTACCCATTTGTGTACACATGTGCTATCTCTGATGTCCAAGGGCCAGGAAAACAGTGCGCGCTGTGAGAAATAGCAGCGATTCTCCATGCTATAAATGTTATTTGGTTCTAAACAGTAATGTTTTATCCCAGAATTTGTGATGCAGTATGTTCATATTAGGTCGCTCAAAAGGAAATATTTAGTGCCATAAGAAAAACAGTAAGTAAACATCCTGTAAGTACAAAATATTGCCAAAGTTTATAATTTTTCACTCTGAAAATACTCTGATGATTTTTGTTGTTGTTGTTGTGTAGTTGTTTTGTTTTTTGAGACATGGTCTCACTTTGTAGACCAGGCTGACCTCAAACTCACAAAGATGTACCTGCCTCTTTCTCCTGCGTGCTGGGATTAAAGGGGTGCGCCACCACATGTGACTTCTGCAGATATCCAGTATACAGTGTCTCTCTCTTTCCAAAGTTTCTTCTGTTGATTCAGTGTTCTTCCAGAAGCCATGGTTTTGACTTCCCATTTTAGCCAGTCCTCTGAGACCATTTTACCTTAGCAAAGAAGGAATATAGTGCATGTGCATCTTCAATATTGCACTAAAAATCTTCCAACTCCTGTGAGATATAGACATAATATCAGGAAAGTGCTGTGTTGAAATAGACACACCCATAGTTTCTTCCAGCTCTGTAGATTGTTTCCTTTGGAGACATCTTCTGTTGTTCCTCTTTGATTTATACGCTTGATTTATGTACAGTATTTGTCCGTACAGACATTGCCATAAGTTGTACAGAAGAAGAGGATAAAATGTGAACTAGAGCAATATCAATTTCTTGTCCAGAATAAGTGTTTCCAACTGAAATAGGTCCTGGATAAGAATCACCTCAGTTCTCAACACTGGCTGTGCAT